ACGGGTTCAGACACGCCATGTAATCCGCGCCTTAGAGTGGTGGGCGGTGAACCAGCTTTGGATGGTGAGTGGCCCTGGCAGGTCAGTTTTCAGGAATTGACCGCGGTCATTTATGTGGAGGGACTCTGGTGTCCGACCAATGGGTTGTTACCGCCGCTCACTGTCTCTACGGGTAAGCCAGGAGTGTTCGGAGTGCAACTTGATTACTAGTACAATTTATATATAGATTGATAACCAAAAAGTGCTTATAGTAAGAATTAATTGTTGTGAGTTACATTGCTTTTTTTATTTAAATTACATCTTGGCTTTTCGTTTTGATTTTCAATAAAAGGACAGTAAATGAAACAAAACCATAAATTTACTTTTAAAAGTATAATTATGCGTACATTTCACATAAAGATAATGTCATTAGACCCTGTAATTATCAAGACGTCTTCGATATGTTTTCCTTTAACGTTTAGCATCTCAACTACACCACAATCTTTAAAATCTACACACACACTTTTAAGAGCATCTAGAAGAAGCTCTCTAGCTCTAGTATATGTTAAAGGTTTATTTGATTTACATAACTTATAAACATTGTCCTTTTTGAAAAATGCAACCTCTCTAAAAATAAAAACATTAGACTGAAAAGCAAGACCAGCAAATGATATGTATTTTTCAAAATATGAAAACAGGACAAAGTTTATTACCTGTTTTCGCTATAACAACAATATTACCTGGCATGAAAATATCCGTTTTGCTTTTTTTAACTCTGAATTCAACATGTGAACCTGATTCATGAAACTTAATGTCACACATTCGAATATGCACAAGTTCATCATATCTTAAGAAACCTGCATAACCTAATAACAACATACATACCAATCTCAATGATATAAATTTTGTAACTGCGGAAATTTATCCATTATTTTATCTAAAATCTCAGGTGTAATACGTACCTTCTTAACTACAGGTTTCGATAACAATCTCTTCCCTCCTTCTAAAATCAAATTTTCAAGGTTGTCTGCACATGGATTATTACAAAGATTAATATGATGTGCCCATTGAATACTATAATATGCCGCATTAATGAATGCAGCCGAAGACTGTTTTTGTATAAGATAAGACAAATAAACTGCAACAGAAGATGGTGTAGCAGGTAATGCAAGAAATTTAAATTTTGCGCACCAGGACTTAAACTGTAAAAATAGCTTCTGTATTTTTTATACGTGTTATCACTTTTACTGTGCCTTACTATATCATTCATTTTGAGTACCGTGTCCTTGAGTCTAGGATCTTGAATCTTTTTAATGTCTTTCAATGCGAGGAACTAAATGTGAGCTGAAGTTAAAAAAAAAATAAAATTACTTCATATTAAATATATATACATTTATGTCTCTTGATCAACATTTGAGCCCGTTCTTGATAAAATCTAATAAGCACATCTGTAATCTTAATCATAATGCTTCATTAACAATTGTATGCAACATAATATAAAATTTATTCACAATTGCCCCATCGAGGCTTCATCACAATTGCCCAATCGAGGCTTCATCACAATTGCCCCATCCGGGCTTCATCATAATTGCCCCATCCGGGCTTCATTACAATTGTCCCATCCGGGCTTTTTTTTTTCATTACAAAAGCCCCATAAAGGCTAACATACATTCATTATCATTGTCTGTTATAACATAGCATAAACACAAAATTCAACAATCAGAACAGTCTATATAAAGCACAATAACATTACTTTGAAACTGTGGTTCAGCAAACACACTCTCTGCATGAAATCCTGTCCTAAAAAAGTTTCGAGGCTTGTGATATTCAAGCCATTTTTAACAAAATTTTGAAAATTTCCAGAAAACGGCTTAACTAATAATGCCAAAAAGGTGAAGACTGCCATTTAGGATTAAGAAGAGTACCTCTTGCTTTGCACAAAATCAATTGTTTAATCACTTTTATAATCAGATTAACAGGAGGTACTATCCAATTATTACCTATAGACCAATCAAACCCAAAAGCATCTACATCTGATGTTCCAGGATTCCAAAATCTGGAATAAATTTTTTCTACTTTCTTATTTTTACAGTCTGCAAATAAATCATAATCAAATGGCCCCCATTTTTTACTTAAAAACTGGAAAATGTGATCACCCACTGACCAATCATCAAAATCAAAAATCTTACTGTACGCGTCTGCAATTTGATTCATCCAGGATAAGCACGTGTTGTTCTGTCGTAAGGCTTCTTCTTGTTGCTTCTTTTCTTTGCTCTGAAAATAGCTTGTCGAAGCTTAGTAGCATCGTCAGCGTCGTCAGTAAGAGGATCATCATCATACTCGTACAACGTCCCAACCATATTTATCCGCTATGCGAACAGTTTTGTTCCTTTTATTCAAATGAGATATAGTAAAATTCAAAATTTCTTTAGGCGCTTCTAATCTGTTATTTTCTAACAGGTTTAATACTTTTTTAATGTCAATGTCCCTTTCTGGATTGAATTCAAACTGAATTTTATTGCCTTGATATCTAAAGTCAGGTACCTTTTTTTCTGTTGACTTCTTAGCTAAATTCAACTCGCTGACGATTTCTTGCTTTTGCCGTCTAAGCGCCCTATCGAATTTGTCTGTAAAAATATCCAGTGCATCTTGAGTAGTGAATTCATCTTGCGAATTTTCTGTCAAGCAAGGTCGTCCACTTTGGCCAATTTGAGGCGCAGCATGCATGTATAACCCGCTCCTCGTGACTAGAATTTGACTCATTCATTCCAGGTAAAGCGTGTTCGAAATCTGGTTGATTATTGCTCGTCGATGACCGCTTTACGCTTGACCAACTTCTTATATACTATGACCAAACAACTACCCTTAAATGTGCTTACGCGCATAAATTAATCCTCACATACAACTTATAGAAATTGATTGAACTGGTGATAATGTTGTACTACGACATCTACGCATTCCCATAACCTCTGCTATGACGTGTAATTCCAGCTGGGACGGTGTCATCACCGACAAACAGCTCTGCATAGGAACTGGGGACACGGGGGCATGTCGGGTAATAGAGTTTCAAAAAGAAAGATAATAAAGGGAAAGATTATAGATCAATCCATCCGTCTTATACCCACGGGTGATCACGTCTTTTACTTATCACATAGTATTGGGGGATTATATCTATAAGGCTCAGAGATATTGGGGTTACATATACATGTATACTAACCGGTAATATGCTTAAGTTTGGCCAAATATAAAATTTATTTGTAGAAAAAGAAAATGACGTTGATAAGAACAAATACAAATAAAAAAACATGTTAATTGATTCAATGATTGTCAAGTTCACAACAAGTTAATATTTCGTACGCTCTTAATTTTGACTTAGGTCTTCTTTTTCAATCTTAAATAGATTTAAAATTTTCTCTATCTTGTGTCAGCATAAATTTCAGCATGTGTTTATCCTATGTTTCAAATTAAGTGTACGAGGGTTGTCCCATAAAATCGTGGACAAAGCGTTTTCTCGAAAAGTAATGGGCGCACTAAGCTGAAAATTTCAGTTAATGTTTATTTATCATATTTAAGTGCATGATACTTTTTTTTATAAGATATAGGCAAAAATAAAAATATTATTATCCTTGAATGTGCACGGGGTATTGTCCTACGGCGCACGGACATAAACCAAGGTTTTATTAAAGAAAACACAAGTTTGAATTCAAAATAAAAGTTTTTAATGCATAAGATTTGGATAAAAATTACCCTAATTCAATTCAACATAAAATTTTGTAGTCTTTGTAAATATTTTAAGGCATTTGGTTAATTTTTTGCAGTTTCTCGAGCATTCGAAATGGGAAAGTGGTAAACACAACACGCGAAAAATGGCGACGTTTAATGACGTTACGGCGCACCGGAGAGCAGTTCCGTTTTAATTTGATGTTGTTATGACACCTTTAGAGACTTGAAATTACCATAGAAGAAAAAAGATTGTAAAGATATCACCATATCTTAAGTATACAAATGAAATGGGAGTTTTGTTAGCGAATTCTTTTTTGAACGAGCCCCTTGGGAGTGCAAAACATACGGACAAACTCCTAATGTAATAGCAAAAGACGCTGCCACAGTAGACCGCCGATATGAGATTTTTTTTTTAGTTGAATGATGGTGAGAATATTGTCCGTAACTTAAACTGATAAATCTTCAGAAGATTGCATGAGGGTGTCAATTGGTTCTTCGGCTGTTTATGGAGACTAAAGAATGTGTATCAATGAAATTCCTAAATTTAAGTCGGACTTATCCAACTTCATTTTCAGCAAAGATAAAACGTGACGCTGTTTTAGACACTTTGGCGTTATAATCCATGCGCCTTAAGGTGATACAATACATGGCATTAAATCTCATAATGTGTTTATTGATGCATATATTAATCTGAAAGCTGTGCATATTACTAAAATATGTACTAAAAAAATAGTGAAAATTTCAAAACGCAGTGATATTTATTTTTTACACTAGACAACTTGTCCACGATTTTACGGGACAACCCTCGTACATATTTATTATTGATGCCCTGGCATACCTTACAAACTAAACAATGATTCTTTACAAATTTTCTATCATGGTAGCTAGACTAAATCAAATGTTGGTAAAATATCTGTAGTCCTTCTATTTTGCTTGTTTGCTTTAGAGTCCCAGTATGTCCTTGTTGTTTTGGACACTGGAGAAAAGGAATACTACCGCTGGACCTTTGACCAGGAGAACCTACTGTTCTACAAATCCTCGCCAGACTCAGGGTACGCAGCTTTACCTGTAGGAACACCGGTAAGGAGAGGTAAACAGGAGGCCATTGTTCAATGTTTTGTGGCACAGAAACTTAAAACTAACCATTGAATGTAACAATTTCACAATTCAAATTTTACATTACAAGGTAAATTTTGATGCTCTTTTCTTTATATATGTATTTGGATTGGGTGTAATAAAAAAAATATAATAAAAATTTTTTCAAATTATATTGGTTTAATGTTGATGCAGTGATACCTTTATTATTTAAAACACTTTTGCAGGCAGACATTGGAATTATGATGATCAAGATGGTGGTCCAGATGAAAAAGGGGTTGTCATCATCAACAAAGATGGAGGAAGGCTAGTCAAGGTATTGAAAATTAACCACTGTGAAATGCAATCAGACATTCTGAATGAACTCTAAAGATAATGAACAGTAATCAAGCTCAAATGACCATTAAAACAGCAGTGTAAATACAGATATCTAAAAACATCAGAGGTGGGATCAGGTGCAGTGGAGGAGTAAGCATCCCTGTCAACCAGGCACATCTGCAGAATGCTCCTTGGCAGGTTTCATCAGATGGAGAGATATTCAAATTTTTTCTTGAAACATGTTAAATTATAATTCTGTTTTTGTGTTAGTACAGGATGGACCTGTTATCATTTTTTTTTTTGGAAAAGAAAAAAAAAAGATTTAGGTAAATAGGTGGATAAATTGCAGAAATTACCCTGAGGCTCACACTTTTTTTCATATACAAAATACTTGTACTCTATTCAAACATACAACATTTATGTAATATCATATTGTTTGTTAAAACTTGTCAGATTAAAATTGATTTACAAGGACTATACATGTAATATGGAAAACTAGGGGGGGGGGATTTCTTTATCATTTATTATTTTGTACATGTAGTATTAAATGTAATACTCTCTTTTTTAACTGTGTTGTAAATTGTTCAGTAAAATATAAATGTCAATCAAAAATTAGGGGAGGGGGGCGCAATTTACATTTTTGTCACACTTTTATATAGTGACTAGTTAGATATAATCTTTTATGGATTACATTAGTTTTTTCTAAATTTCTCCTTAAAACAGGTATGCTGGCGTTCACCTTTCGCTGCACATGAATTGAATGTTTACAGATACGGAGATCAAGAAAGATTCGACAGTGATGTTGCGTAAGTTTGAGAGATGTGTCTGTTGATTAATTATTTTGAAGCCTTATCTCAAAAATAATACTTTTCAAGACATATATTTTTGAGGGGGCATAGAAAAAAATTGCCTTATTAATGTATTTCTTGTAATCGGTGATATTTATAACCGTTTTTTTTCCTTTGTAGAGAATCTCCACTCATTGATTTGGAAGGACTAATTGGTAACAATTAATCATTTGTACATTATATCAATGATGAAACATTATTTATTTTACTTAAAAGAAGGACTTAAAAAGTTATAGGGGCCTACACCGAGAATTTGGTAGTATATATTGTAAGGGGGGAGAGGGGATGTAATTCCTTAGTTAAAAACAGATATTGACTTCTGATCAAATTCTGTAAATTCCTTATTTTTCGCGAATACTTTTTATCGCGAACTGGGTGTCTAACGTCAAACCGCGAGAATTATAATTCGCGAATGGAAGTTTAATCAGGAGAATTTATACAGATTTTAGCACTATATAAATAAACGTGAGTAATATTTTTTCGCAAGTGACGCTTCTCGTGAATTTTTGCGGAAATTAATTCCCTGCATATAATAAGGAATCTTCAGTAAATATACGAGGGTTGTCCCATAAAATCGTGGAAAAAGCGTTTTTCTCGAAAAGTACGGTAATGGGCGCACTAAGCTGAAATTTTCAGTAAATGTTTATTCATCATATTTAAGTGAATCAAATTGTTTTTGATAATATATATTCAAAAATAAAGATTTTATTCTGCTTGAATATGCACAAGGTTCGGTCCTACGGCGCACGGTAAAAATAGCAAGGTTATATTAGAGAAGACATAAGAATTTAAAATTCGTAATAAAAGTTTTCAATACATAAGGTTAGGATGAAAATTATCCTTATTCGATTCCTTAATCAATTCTGTCGCCTTTTTAAAATTTCAAGGCATTTGGTTAATTTTTGGCAGTTTCCCGAGCATTTGAAATGGGAAAGTATAATAAACACAATACACGAAAAATGGCGACTTTTTATGACGTTACGGCGCACCGGAGAGCAGTTCAGATAGATTAGGATGTATATGATGCCTTAAGAGACTTTAAATGAATACAGAAGAAAGAAAATATGAAAAATGTCACCAGATCTTTAGTATATAAATGAAATGAAAGTTTTCTTAGTGAAGTCTTCGTGGTCGAGTCCCCAGATAGTACAAAACATGGACAGACTGCCATTTGTGATAGCAAAGGATGCTGTCACTGTCGACCGTTGATGTGAGATTCTCTTTTAGTTGATTGATGGTGAGAATACTGTCTGTAACTTGCTAATAAATATTCAGAAGATCGCGTGAGTGTGCCTTTTTGGTTTCCTAACTGGTTATAGATACTCACATATGTAAATCAATAAAATTTCTAAATTTAAGTGGGGCTTATCCAACTTTAAGTTTAGCAAAGATGAAACGTGACGCTGTTTTAGACACTTTGACGTTATCATCCGTGCGCCGTAGGGCGATACAGTACATAACATAAAATATCACAATTTGTTTACCTATGCATATATCTATTTGAAATTTGCTATGTATATTTATAATTTATCTACTAAAAAGTGGTGAAAATTTCAGAACTCAGTGATGATTATTTTTCAAACTAGACAACTTGTCCACGATTTAACGGGACAACCCTCGTACATACACGTGTAGCAAGACTTTGCACAATTTATAAAATTTCAATTGGTCTTTTCAATAGTTTTCAATGTATAATCACAAATATAGTGGGTTTTTTATTCTCAATGGGAAGTTGAAACATCTCATTAATTACCCAGTATTTACTACACTTTTTTAGTATATATATAGATTATATATAATTATCCTCAGATTCTGGGTCACCGAAATGGGAGGTATGTGATGAGACGGGCAATTGCTGGCCCCTAACAGGGGTTAGTGCCCTGGAACTACAGGACAGCGTGGCCCTTAAAAAGCCCATACTGACCATGAAGGAGGGACATACTCAGTACGTAGATGTATATATCCAATGTTTTGTAGAAATATTTCTAATGTTATGTAGAAATATATATCTAGTGTTTTAGTAATAGTTCCACATTTTGTCAGTAGATTTACTTGTACTTATTTTAACTGGAGGATCCAAATATTAAAGGAGATATAATGAATTGATCTTTCCTTTGATTGTGACTTTTATTTTCTTTAGGGGGACATTTAGGCTGGAAGGTGACAAACTGACAGACTTCAACACGAACAAGACTTTATGGATAAGAAAGATGGAGGAAACATGAGGATTGATCTTCCTAGAGGTCTGGCATAAGCTTATATTTCAACAAATTTAAATGAAACTCCAATAAATTGGAAAGAGTGCCATATTTATTGATATCATCTCTGTATATTTACCACATGTATATTTTACAGAATTATATGATTACAAGATAGGATTACTTGTTGTAGATGGAAATTTTACAGTTTTGAAGAATATGACAGAAACGGAGTTGTGACTGCTTTCTATATTTGCTACGCATTTAATGCATGTACATCCTTACAGGACATTAAATTGTCAATGTAAAAAGTATTTTAGAAATAAAATGTCTTGACAGTCAGTCTTTATTACGGTGTTTATTTAAACTTGGCATTAATATTTTTGATATATCGTCGGAGGCCCTAAATTCGTTACGGTCCTAGGGTCGTGACCTTTTATTTTTCTTGAATACATTGCATGATTTTGAGTCCACCTGCACCACATCGTCAGAAAAAATTATTTGGATTGATTTTGTCATATTTTACAGCTCCTGAAGATGATATGGACGAAAGAAGGCAAAAGTGTATAATCAGAAACAGAATTTCCCCTTACTTAGCATAAATTCGCTATTACCGCATATATTAAAAAAGAAAATATTTGATATGTTTTTCTTGCGTCCTATCTCAAGTGTATTGGTATACTATACGGAAGCGTATTAGGGCCCCAGCAGTATTTTTTTTTAATTTGTTATAACAAAATTATCAATTTGTTATAACAAATTATCAATTTGTTTAAACAAATTATTAATTTGTTATAACAAATTATTAATTTGTTATAACAAATTGATAATTTGTTATAACAAATTGATAATTTGTTATAACAATTTATTAATTTGTTATATTATATAACTTTGTGAAATCCGGTAATCTAATTGGTCAATACGAAGTAATTATTTTTTAATAACGACCGCTGAAAGCAAATAATGACTCGAACGAGCTGCCTCGTTTTCACTTTCACTTTAGACAAACATGGAAGTTCGCAAGTTGTAGGTGAGGAAAATCTAACAGATAGTGAAGAACTCTAAGACTGAGAATATAAAACAATTACAAGGATATCTGTATACATTTTTTCGCGAATACTTAGCACATACCATTTCATGGTTGAATTCGACATTTCCACTCGGCGAGCAGAGTTTTAACGCTGTTTACGCGATTACGGAGACTAAAGAAATAAAGACAAGCATGCCATGTATGATTGTATCTTATCGTTACGGTAGAAGACATAGGTATTTATATTTTGTCATTGCATATAATTTCCTCTGCAAGTGTAAACGAGTGCGATTCTCAGTCTAGGGGAGGGGGTACTCTGTGTTATTCGGAGATAGATATCTTGCGTTATTATCATGCTATGGGTTTATTTATTCCTTTGAGTAACATTCAATAAATTCTGAAACATTTATATTCAACTTACTTATAGTTAATACTATCTCTGTAAACATTAGGAAGATATACATTGTATTAATATTAAAATATGGGAAAATATTATTTATATAATATAATAAATATGGACTCAATGTAGGTCAATATGCATTTATAATGACCCAGGGTGACAGATATTGACCTCAGATACATGGAGCATATCGACCTCGGGCTAGCGCCCTCGGTCAATATACTCCATGTATCTTCGGTCAATATCTGTCACCCTGGGTCATTATAAATTCATATTGACCTACATTGAGTCCATATTTGTATAATAACGACTTGATAATTTGTTTAAACAAATTGAAAATTTGTTATAACATATTACTAATTTGTTATAACAAATTACTAATTTTTTTAAACAAATTGATAATTTGTAATAACAAATTACTAATTTGTTATAACAAATTACTAATTTGTTTAAAGAAATTGATAATTTGTTATAACAAATTGATAATTTGTTATAACAAATTACTAATTTGTTTAAACAAATTGATAATCTGTTATCTGTTATAACAAATTAATAATTTGTTTAAACAAATTGATAATTTGTTATAACAAATTATTAATTTGTTATAACAAATTAGTAATATGTTATAACAAATTATCAATTTGTTTAAACAAATTACTAATTTGTTATAACAAATTGATAATCTGTTATAATTTGTTATAACAAATTACTATTTTTGGATATTTGACATGTACACAGAAATTTTGAATCTTTATCAGATTAGAAATCATTGAAATATTGAATTTGTGAAACAATAAGCATACAGTCTGCAAAGTTGACCTATATGTTTCTTCTAGCATCTCAGAGTTTTCACTTCAAACAATGTCATGATGAATTGCATCAAGGTCCTAGATTCTATTCCTTATAGCTTGTTCTTTGAAGCGTTAATAAAAGTTTGTCCATACGTGCCCTTCCCCCCCCCCCTCCACCCCCTTCCGACTCTGCACAGTCATATCACCCAATTCGTATGCTAGGAAAAATATTATCTTGTTTGAGCCATGCAAAAGAATGTTACAATTTAAATTGTTTTATTATATCCCCCCCCCTCCCCCGCTTGAAAAGTGGGAGGGTATACTGTAATCGGTATGTCCGTCCATCCGTCTGTTACGCTTTGGAGTACCCATCTCTTATCCGCAACTCCTCCTATACCACGAAGTGAAATTTAATGAAACTTTCACAGAATCTTTATTACATAACATATTACCATTTTGCACCTCCTATTTTACTTTTTGATCCGACACATATTTTGGGTTTCCCGGCTACAGCTAAACATGGACTTTGTCTTTATAAGCATATGGGAGGGGGGGTATCATTTAGAGAGCTCATTGCCCACAGTATCTCTAGTTTGTGTTTTGATTTTGTTCATTTTAACCCCCCCTTCTCTCTCTCTCTCTCTCTCTCTGGATTCTTTTTTACATGTGATATGATCTACTTTGAATATTGCTTTTCGACAGGCATTTATGTCTACTGTTCAACCCAATTGAAAATCCTGGATCTGCTACCGTGGTGAACCTCAATAGTTTCCTATAAAGCTTTGAGCAACAGAGGCACCTTTGACCAATGAATTTGCGGATAAATTATCAAGAAAAAATACATTCCGTAACAAACTTCCCTGGAAAACTAAAGAAAAAATAAAAACCCACAATATTCTTGAGTGGGTATCTCTTGGTGAAATTTGATATTAAATTCCTAATGTGTCATTCAATTCTTCTGTATGCAACTAATTTTTATTATAATAATAAAAAAAGAGCCTGTTGGAAAAGCTCTCAATGGTCCCACTAAAGCCTTATTTTTGCCAAAAACTTTGACATTTGCAAATTATTTTCATAAATCCCACATAAACTAGGATTTTTTATTTGATCTGGCTTTCGTAGATTGTATACATTTCAAATTTTGTCAAAAATAGTAATTTGTTTTATCAAATTACTAATTTGTTATAACAAATTTATAATCTGTTATAAAAAATTAATAATTTGTTTAAACAAATTAATAATTTGTTTAAACAATTAGTAATTTGTTATATCAAATTAGTAATTTGTATAAACAAATTATTAATTTGTTATAACAAATTATCAATTTGTTATAACAAATTATCAATTTGTTATAACAAATTATCAATTTGTTTAAACAAATTATCAATTTGTTTAAACAAATAAGTAATTTGTTATAACAAATTATCAATTTGTTATAACAAATTATCAATTAGTTTAAACAAATTTATAATTTGTTAAAACAAATTAGTAATTTGTTATAACAAATTATCAATTTGTTTTAGCAAATTATCAATTTGTTATAACAAATTACTAATTTGTTTAAATTAATTAATAATTTGTTATTATACAAATATGGACTCAATGTAGGTCAATATGCATTTATAATGACCCAGGATGGTAGATATTGACCGAAGATACATGGTGTATATCGACCGAGGACGCTAGCCCGAGGTCGATATACTCCATGTATCTGAGGTCAATATCTGTCAGCCTGGGTCATTATAAATGCATATTGACCGTGCATTGAGTCCATATTTATTATATTATATAAATGATATTTTCCCAAATTTTTCAATACAATGTTTATCTTCCTAATGTTTACAGAGATAGTATTAAACATAAATAAGTTGAATTCATTTCAAATGTTTAAGAATTTATTGAATGTTACTCAGAGAAACTTGTTTTGGTAATAAATTTTAACCCATAGCAAAAACATAATGCAAGATATCTATCTCCGAATAACACAGAGTACCCCCTCCCCCAGACTGAGAATCGCACTCGTTTACACTTGCAGAGGAAATTATATGCACGGACAAAATACAAATACCTATTTCTTCTACGATAAGATACAATCATACATGGCACGCTAGTCTTTATTTTCTTTAGTCTCCGTAATCGCGGAAACAGTGTCAAAACTCTGCTCACCGAGTGTAAAAGTCGAATTCAACCATGAAATGGTATGTGTTAAGTATTCCCGAAAAATGTTCATAGATATCCTTGTAATTGTTTTGTATTCTCAGTCTCAGAGTTCTTCACTTAACTATATATTTCAAATTTTCCTCACCTACAACTTGCAAATGTTTGTCTCAAAGCGAAAGTGAAAACGAGACAGCTCGTGTGAGTCATTATTCGCTTTCAGCGGTCGTTATTAAAAAATAATTACTTCGTATTGACCAATCAGATTACCGGATCTCACAAAGTTATATAATATAACAAATTATTAATTTGTTTTAACAAATTATCAATTTGTTATAACAAATTACTAATTTGTTATAATAAATTAATAATTTGTTATAACAAATTGTTAATTTGTTATTACAAATTATCAATTTGTTATAACAAATTAATAATTTGTTATAACAAATTAATAATTTGTTTAAACAAATTATCAATTTGTTATAACAAATTAAATAAAATACTGCTGCGGCCCTAATACGCTTCCGTATATTGGTGCTACGGCACGCATTGTTTATAATAAGTCAACAGAAGTCACTTATTCGATTTGGAATTTTTGGATCTGTGTTATGTAACTTCCGCTAAGGTCACGACCCTAGGACCTGTGTTTTAAAATGGCGTCGGATAAACATAGGTACTTTGAACGAGAAGTAAACAATCAATAAAGGCATGAATTTTTAAAAACTTTCAGTTTAATTGAAAAAAAATATTTACAACTCAGGTATGACTTACAAAATGAAACAGTATTTTAAATTTATTTTAAAACGGACATTAGCTCATTAGGGTAACGACTCATGGACCTCCGAGGATACATTGTATCATATATAACACTGACAGCTGCATATGCTGATTAATTGAGTAACCTTCTTTTAACAAATCTTGAATAATACTTAGTAATAAATGTAAGAGATACCTTTTAGTATTCTGAGAAAGGGGAGACAACTTGCATGCTTTAATTTTCTTTTTACTCTATTTTCCAGTCTTCACCAAAACCCCTGGGCCACTTTCAACCTCACACAGAGGATCTTTCAGTTCTTTGAAAGTCTTCCTGATTTTTTGGACAATTTTATTAAGCATTCATGTTCATATTGAATATTTAGATTCTTTACCAAAGTTTTGAAATTAAAGTTTCCTTGCATGGTCATTGATTCAGACTCTGAGGTAGGGCTATAACTCCCCCCCCCCCATTGTAGTCAACATGTTGCAGTGAGAGCCCTACCAATTTCACTTGATTTTTAACAGTATTCTTGGGCTTGATTTTTTCCATTAAAAAGTGCCAAACAAATTTATTGTAGCTTTCATATATAGTTAAATGACACCTAGTTAAGAAATAAAATCAAGATTGGTAATTCTTCATGCCAATGTGTAGACACAGGACCCTGTGAAGACAACGAGTTAAATATTGAAAAACAAAAACCCCACTTTGGGTTTTATACCTAGTATCAATTTGTTCAATATATGGCTACACATTAAGATTAAACGACATGTATACTATACTTAAACTCACACTCACATGGGATTCCTTCAGATAATCCATCGGGAGGTCAATTCCAAAAATGTAGCAGTATTGAGTGCACCCAATCCATCACCTGGGTTTAACTAATGCATACACATATATGTGCATGTATGATATTAATGATTTTAAGACACATTTTTTCAGCATTAGATTTGACACATCTGAAAGTAATCTGCATATTACCTGCATGTTTCATTTTAAAGAGGAAGTCAGACCATATTTAGATTTATTTCAGGCTATATATATATATATATATATATATATATATATATATATATATATATATATATATATATATATATATATATATATATATATATATATATATATATATATATATATATATATATATTCATTTGTGATTACAGTAGAAAAACTCTCCATTTTATCATTTTATCTGTTTTTTTTTATCATTGAAAATGACAATGCCTACAAATTATTGTGTGTGTGTGTGTGTGTGTGTGTAAGGGTGTATATGTGTGTGTGTGTTGCTGAAAAAATGCCCATTCAATACCTTATTTAACAATGTATTATTTTTTTTTATTTATACAATAATCGATGCGATGAACATTTCTTTTATTTGTCAATATATATTTCGCCATGACTGTGGATACATACACTTTTTAATTATTCTCCTCTCTGATATTGAAACACAATTAGAAAAAAATAATTTTAACTATTTAATATGTACTAAAACACCGTTAGATTTAACTTAAATATTTGATTTTCTTCACTTTTCTGTTTAACCACTGACCAACAAACAGATTGTCATTTGTATCTATACACAGTCCCCAGGGATAACTCAGTCCACATTCTATGTAACGGAGGAACTGTCCATCCTGGTCTATGATGTGGACACAGTCATTGTTGTAATCAGCTGTAAGGATGTGACTCTGACTGTCTGTGGTGATTCCTCGTGGTTTGAATGTTTTGTTCTTTGGAGCAGGAGTTTGTCCAGTGTACCTGAATCTGAGTTTCCCGGCCTGATTGACCACTACTACTGCTATACCTCCACAGTCAGACACACAAATATCAAGGTTCCTATTCTCAATTATAAATCTGTAATAAGTACCAGATGAATAGAGAGGTTTACCTTGATCATCAACCTGAATGGTTTGTTTCTTTCGGGAGCCAGAGTAACGGACAACTTTTGCTTGTTTGTAATCATCACTGCTCATGATAACCAGGAGGTCACCAGAGGAGGTACTACAGACACCACGAGGTCTCCAGTTCTGTAGTCTGATCACCTCCTCTATCTTTTCATTCTTCACAATGTTCACAGTTCTATCTCTGTGATCAGTATAAAGTAGATCTCCACTTTTTGTCACTGCTATGTCAAATGGTGTGTTCCCTGACTTGGTTGTGATTGACTTGAGTAGTGATCGCTGATTGATGCTGAAGAGTTTCATGGTGCTGTCACCTCCACTTGTCCAGATTTCTTCATCACTCAGACAGGCCACATTGAAAAGGTCTCTATACCCAGTGTTTATGATGATGACAGTCTTTGGTTCATCAAGCAGCTGTTTGACTGGAGGAGAGGATCCAGCTTCTGGTGATTTCTGTGTTATCTTCATGCTGTAGCCATGTTTGTCGGATGTTAAAGAGATTGATGATAAGATTCCAAACAGTTTACCAAGTTCTTCTTTTTCGATCTTGCATGCCATGAATTTAGGTAAAGATGGCAGAATTTTTTGTGGAAGATTTCTATATCTCTCTACACTGAATGTACAGAGATTTGATATGTCATTAGATTCAACAGCAATAGCAACTGAATCGATTGCATCTTTGATGTCAGACATTGTCTTGTTTATTTCATCCAGATGTTTCTGTAGAGTTTGTAACTGTGTGTTTTTCATCTCATCAACTTCAGTTTTAAGTTTCATGACAAGTTTGTCAATTTCTCTGTGCCAGTCCTCTCCATGTTTTGTTATGGCTGTTGAGAGATCTCCATATTCCTTTTGTAGCTGACTCATTCTGTTTTGTACATCAGAGGCAATATCCTGGTAGGCTGGGTAAATTATTTCATTTAGTTCAGTTTGTCCTTTTACGATGTTTTCCTTTTTTTCATCAAGTACTTGTAAGATTTTTAATAATTTATGACCAAGATGTTGATCAGAAGCAAGGCAGGTGTCACACACAGGAATGTCACAATGCTTACAGTACATGGTGCATTGTTGTTTATCATGAATTTTACACCCAGGGTAGAGGGGGGTAGTTTTTCTCAGAGTAAATTTTACAATTTCATGTTTTTTGGATTCATCAGAAATTGTGTGTTCTCCAACACAGGCCTTACACAGGTTGAAAAGACATGTATCACAGTGCATCTGTACCACAGCAGTCTCACACAGGTCACATCGCATCACGTCCTGGGCACTGGTACGGTGGTCCATGATCAGACTAGACCTATAGTTATATCAAATGACATTTTTAATTCTAATAAATTTGTGACACCTCAGTTTAATTAATGAGTCTCACTTATCGTTTCAATCAAGTCAGATGTATTTATACCTGGTAAACAGCTCCAGTCCAAAGACTATTTCTACCTACGTAGCTATTAATAGCTACCTAGGTATTTAAAGCTAATCAAAGTAGCTATTTTTACCCACTTTTTGTTAAATTTGCATTTTGTGGCCAAATGCAGGAACGGCGCAATATGGTAAGCACAAAATTTCTTGATACAGTCACACTGATGATAAATATGATAAAAATTTGGCCAAAAAATGATAACTTCGTATATTATCAATTTTGCATTTAAACTAATGAAAAATTGCCAATTTAGGAAGTAATCATTTTTGGCCAAAATTTTGTCGTATTCATCATTAGTTTGACCGTATAAAAAATGGTATTCACCGTGTTTCGCCGTTTAGTCTCTTGGCCGCAAAATGCAGAAAATATATAAAGTAGGTAAAAATAGCTACTTTGGGTAGCTTTAAATACCTAGGTAGCTATTAATAGCTACGTGGGTAGAAATAGTCTTTGGACTGGACCTGGTAAAGTCTAGAAGAATGAATATAGTAAAATAAATAGGCAGATTCTAGATTAATTGTTTGGCAAATGATAGGTCTAATAGCAATTTCTTTTAAATAGCGTAGCTGCCTTAATTGTATATCCATGACATTGAAAACATGTATGGCACGCCAAATTCACAAAAATGAGATGATCATAGTTTCACAATTGATAAACTAGGTTTATCGACTGTAAAGTATAGTTTACAAACCTTAAACTATAGTTTACGATTCGTTAAGTATAGTTTTCATCTGTAAAACTATATTTAACGGTTGTTAACTATAGTTTACGAATGTTTATTTAAGTTTATCTGTCTGTAATAAAGCGTTAACAATAGATTTTGTTGATAAACATAGATTCACGTTTGTAAACTATAGTCTACAATCGTAAACTATAGTTAAGAGTTGTTAATCATAGTTTCATAAATCGTGAAACTATATTTATCAGATCGTTAACCATAGTTAACGGTTTGTAAACTATAGTTTACAAATCGTGAAACTGTATATATCAGATAATCTATGTGTTGCAATCGCAAATGATAGTTTTCGGTGTTAAGTATAGTTTACGGTTGTGAAACATAGATTATCGCGTTAACTATAGTTTACAGATGTAAAATATAGATTAACGTTGTTAACTATAGTTTACAGTTCGTAAACTATAGTTTACAACCGATAAACCTAGTTTATTGTGAAACTATGATTATCTCATTTTTGTGAATTTGGCGTGCCATAAACATGACTTTGAAAGGCGGACAAAGTCAAATATGAATGCATTAGTCTATACCCAGGTATTCAATTAACCTCAAAACAATCTTGTCAAAAAATTATTCCACTTTTCATTATATCATATTAAATAGTTTTATCAAATGAAAACATTCCATAAACATTACCTGACTTAAATGGTGTCTATCTTGTCGGCCAAATAACATCCGAATCAATATATTGGATCACATGACACATTAACCAGCTCACCTGTGCAATACTAGTATCTACTTGTCAGGTATTTACACTTCCTGGGTCTAGTAAAATAGCGATATTAATCATTAGCTTACACTGCTTAACATTTAAGAATCCCAAACACATTAGAAAATGGTGGACATGTATTTTAACTCGTTCTAAAAAAGGGACTGCATGTGTAAATTTATGCCATTACTCTGTAGCTTTTCAATTCAATTCAATTTATTCACTAAAAACCATGTAAATGGTACTTGAGGTACAAAAACATATAAAGCATATATACATATAATATGTGTGGGTCAAGCACAATGCCGATAAATAAAAGTGACAATTTAGTATTCTGATGCAAGCTAGCCTTTCAGAATGCTTCTTAAATGATTGTATTCCAATTTGCATATATGGAGAGGGGGATAAGCCACCATAGAAACTGAAAAAACATCAACATGATTTAAAAAAAACATGTTTGGTGAGTTTTGCGGCATTTTGCTTGAGAAAATACGTGGCGTTAAAAAAGAATGTGGAATAACGGGAGCATAAAAGTATCAAAGAGGGTTTTCTTCAGGGAAAATAAGAAAGTTTCAGTATTTATATGCAGAACTGGCGAAGACAATATGAGGAATTATATGAGCATGGATGAATGCTCCAGGGAAGTGGGGATGTTGGGAGCACGCAAAACGCAACGTCACATTTCAGAAAGACCTAATGTTTTCCAAAATTTATGGAACCGATATTGCAGGCAGAAAATTGTAAAAGATGGCCAAGATCGGGACGTCCAAGGTGTACGACAGTCAGTGAGGACCGTTATTTGGCCAAAGTTGCAAAGTGGCATAGCTTTTGAAGTGCTTTAAGCTTAATGCTGAGCTTCAGAGAGCAACGGGAAGAACGATTTCTACCCAAACGGTTTGAAAAGGTCTTTATGGAGAAAATCTTAATCCATCTCGACCAACCGTAGGTGTTTAAATAAGAGTATCGCAGAAATCGACTAGAGTGAACAACAGAACAAAGAAAATGGCAATAACGCCACTGGTGTTTTGTTCTCTTCTCAGAGGAGTCGTGTTTTTGTTTTGACTTCAATGATGGCAGGACACTTGTTTGGAGAGGAAGCAGGGGGGGGGGGGGCATGTTTGTTTCATTTCTAAGTATGACATATTAAATGCAAGTTCAGTGATGATTTGGGCAGACATATACCCTGTGTTGACTGGAAAACTGATCTGGCCATTCCACCTCGTATATCTCAATATGCAGGGTGTATATTATGTTGTGCACGGGGTGTTGGCTTTAAAAGCGAAAGAAAGGGGGTCGAGGTACCTTTTCTGTCCATTTTCTCAACTTACGGATATTTCTCGCCAGATAGCATATGCCTACGGAAGGGAGCATTATCTAAGGAGTATATGAATACCTATGAATCCACTTGAGGTTATTAAACACCTCAACTCAATTTCGAGGATCATTCCATTCCAGCCCTGGTACTACCTTAGGAATTTTCAGGGTCTATGTTTTATGTCAGGTACTCACAAATCTGTACTGATTGTAGGTTTTTTTGGAGATCGATATCTGTTTTTTTTTTTTATTTATTTATAATTTTCATTCTGTTCTCATCTGAGTTGTTGAAAATTGAATGCCTTTAGTTACCTACAGAGTTTTTAAGAAATTTTAGATAGCAGGTTTAAATCGTTGTCGGAAAAAGATCCTAAGTCAATTGTTCAACTTGTAGAAATTTGCCGTCGTGAAAAGGAAAATTAAGTATACTAAAACTAATTGCATCAGGCTTGTTTTATCACAGAAATTGCCTATGACTACACTAGAGAATAACTTTCATCTCTGATATTAACCTGAGGATATAAAATCTAAAACTTGATATCACGTTGTCACGATTTCTTAAAATCTTGTTATATGAGATACAGTTTGGGTAGCAGCTGTACTGCAAGATATTTCAAACCATTTCTTCGAAATTAAGGACAATCGTTACCAAAACATTTTGTCAATAAGAATACTGCAGTATTGTCAAGTCATTATCGCTACATATCGAATTATTCAGCGATGCAATTGAATATAAGTTCATTATGATTCATTATATTAAGATATTTCCAGAGAACAGTACCTCACAGCAAATGGCCCTCAAAGTTCTACCATTTATGTAAAGACTGTGTAATTATTTATGAACAATACTCGGTTTTAAAACCTTTTAAAATTTCAATCAAATAAATATATTTTGCATAAAAAATTTGAAAACAAAACCCATCCTGCTCGAAGTCTTACTTTCACCTCCCCATGGTGAGCAGGAGAATCATGTCTTATGCACATATTATTTTATACTTTTAATCAGCCTGTCCATACATAAGCCGATAGCGAAGAGAGGCAATGTGGCGGCAATACAAACATATAAATGTAGCGATCATGTAATTTTTTGTAGCGGTTTTGTGTATGTAGCGGTAAATGAAAATTGTAGCGGTTAATTTAATGATAATCCAAATCGATAGATATACATTGTAGATCATTCAGAAGTTGAACTCACTGCTTAAATGTAAAACATGGTTATAAACATTAGGCTAAGTTTAACTCAGCACTTCATATAACAGAGTATATATATATATATCCCTTTTTAGCTCATCTGAGCCAAAGGCTCAAGGGAGCTTTTCTAATTAAAATTTGTCCGCTGTCTGCCGTCGTTGGCGTTGTCGTAAACTTTTCACATTTTCATCTTCCTCTAAAGAACCACAGGGCCAATTTCGACCAAACGTGCTACAAAGTATCCTTGGGTAAAGGGGATTCAAGATAGTTCAAATGAAGGGCATTGTTATCTTCCAAGGGGAGATAATTATGAATTAGTGAACAATTAATGGCATTTTTAAAAAATCTTCTTCTCAAGAACCATTGGGCCAGGAAAGATGAAACTCATGTGTAATCATCCTCTATAGATTTAAGTTTGTACCCCCGGAATAGGGTGGGGCTTCAATAGACTATCAAATTTTACATAGGAATATTTAAAAAATATCTCAAGAACAGCAAAGCAAGGATTGGAAAAATTAATATGGAAGCTTCTTCAGGTAGTGTAGATTCAAGTTTGTTCAAATCATTACTCCGGGGGTAGGGTGAGGGCACAATGGGCGATCAAAGTTTTACATAGGAATATAAAGGACAAATCTTTAGAAATCTTCTTCTCAAGAACAGCAAAACCATAATTGGTAAATAAATATTTATACAGAAGCATCCTCAGGTTGTGTAGATTTAAGTTCGTTTATGACCTCTAGGACCCCTTGGGATACAGTAGTGCCACTATAGACTATCAAAGTTTTAACCAAGGAATTATGTAGGAAAAAAAACTTTAAAAATCTTCTCAAGAACAGCAAAACAACGATTGGTAAAAGAATGGAGGCGTACAAGGCGAGGACAATCCCCCGCTCTGAAAAAAGACTTTTCTCAATTCTAAAAGTAGTATTTTTTCAAAATTTTATGGTTTATATAATTTTTTCACATCAAATTTTGTATTTAATTGTTTAAATAATTTATTATTAATCTATTTTTCACTCATGTTTTAAGACATTTGAAAACAAAAAAAGAAAAAGCTTCACGTATGATTCGAACTCTCTCCATAGCGCAGACTAGATCCAAGACCAACCGCTTTAACTACTACGCTACGAAGTATATGCATTATTAATGTCCTTCAGTGTGATTTAAATGAACGGGTTTGTTGAAGCGTAAATTTTTTCAGAAAAATTCGATTTTCATATAGAATGGGTTCAGATTCTATTTTTTGGACAAATGAAATAGATTTCGCATTTACATTTTCATCATTTAAGCGATCACAAAGAATGGAGACTTGACCCATTCATGTTCAAAATTCGTTTTATATAGGTCTATTAAACCCATTTTTCACTAAATAAGCTTAACTGTCAACTTTGAAATAAAGATTATCAAATGATAAGTCGTTCAGTAAAATAAAATAATAGAATGTTTTGAAGATGACATTACTAAGAACATGATTTTAGAGAAATATAACATTTCTGTGAATTTTGAAAATTGAGAAACATTTTGTCTCAGAGCGGGGGATTCTACACGCCTTATACGCCCTCTTTCTTTATATGATCATCCTCAGGTGGTGTAGATTCAAGTTTAATTAAATAGCAATCCCCCTTTACCCCTTCTACCTTTAAGGAGTAGGTTGGTACCACTTATACAATGACTTTTTTAATACTAAACTGATTTTTTTCTTTTTCCTAACCACAGTACAGAGGTGAGCAATGTGGCCACTTGGCCTCTTATTAATTATATAGTGAATATACCAACAGATACACATGTACATGTATGATATAATAAATATTACTAATCGTTTATGTAGCAATATAGTTTTATTTCAATTTCAGTACATGTATTTATACTAAATGCACAAAGTGCACTGATACATACATATTCGTTTAATTTACTTTCTTTTAGTATATTTTTGGTAATGGTTTCACTGCATATATTTGATTTTCTTCACTTGACTGTCTCCAATCTGAGCAAGAAAGAGATTGTCACTTGTATCTTTACACAGTCCCCAGGGATAACTCTGTTCACAGTCTATGTAACGGAGGGACTGTCCATCCTGGTCTATGATGTGGACACAGTCATTGTTATAATCGGCTGTAACGATGTGACTTTGACTGTCTGTGGTGATTCCTAGGGGACTGAATTTTTCGTTCTTTAGATCAGAACTATGTCCAGTGTACCCGAATCTCAGTTTCCCGGCCTGATTGACCACCACTCCAGCTCCACTGTCAGACACACAGACATCCAGGTTCCTGTTTTCAGTTATATATCTGTAAAAACTACCAGATGAATAGAGAAGTTTACCTTTATTATCAAACTGAAACTGATACCTTGAGATTTCCAGTTCTGTAGTCTGATCACCTCCTCTATCTTTTCATCCTTCACGATGTTCACAGTTCTATCCCAGTAATCAGTATAAACTAGATCTCCTCTTTTTGTCACTGCTATGGTATCTGAAGTGTACCTTGACTTGGTTGTGATTGACTTGAGTAGTGGTCTATGATTAATGCTAAAGAGTTTCAAAGCGCTGTCATTTCCTCTTGTCCAGATTTCTTCATCACCCAGACAGGCCACATTGTAAAGTTCTGTATACCCAGTGACTATGCTGGTGACAGTCTCTGGTTCATCAAGCAGCTGTTTGACTTGAGGAGAGGATCCAGCTTCTGGTGATTTTTGTGTCGTCTTCATGCTGTAGCCATGCTTATCTGAAGTGAGAGAACTTAGCAATTTTGATGTTCCAAATATTCTACAAAGTTCTTCTCCTTCAATTTTTCCTGGAGTAGATTTAGGTAGAAGGCCACAATTTTTTCTGGAAGATTTCTGTGTTTTTCTATGTCAGGCGTAAAACTGAATAGTTTCAACATGTCTTGGGAATCTACATTAACATCTATTGAACTGATTTCATACTTTCATGTTTTCAAAACAACCGTGTACAAATAACCTTAATAGAAAGTTTATTTTGTCATAAATGAAATTTGCATGTATAATAAAGCAAAGTTTCTCAAATAAATCACAATTGTTATCTGACTTTAATTGATTCTTTTATACAAAAAACTAACTTCCGCTTATACCACTAAGTATTATGTAAACACAAGTCTGAGGGCGAAAGTAGAATTATAGTGTTGTACCATGGAATGTCGGTTCTATCTTTTACTTGTGCGATTTTTTACTCTATTACAAGCCTGAGAATAGCATTTATCAACCTTTTGTGGGATGGGATGACATGAGATTTTTACCCCAAGTTACGTATATACAATTAAGCAGAATCAATAAACAAGTAAAATTGATTTAAAGCATCAAATCGGATGCAATCAAAATTTAGCATTAAAAAAATTATTTTACAATTTTTAAAGCGTTCATGCAAGGAAAGCACGTCAAGATATTTAAAGGTGAAAAGCTGAATTATTTATTTCTGAGGCTGTCTTCAAAGCAAAATAAATAATTTTAAAGAATTAAAAAAAATATTTTAGCGCATTTGCTCATAAATAGATTCATCGATGTAAAAAAAAAAAATCAATGATCATTGATGAATGATAAGAATTTATTGTCATCAAAAATGAAGATGTAGGCCTCTCAAAATTAACCACGTTCTGATACCCTGGAATTTGGTCACGTGATAATTGCCAATGATGGTTCTGCAGAATTAACAGGCTATACTGCAAGCTTTAAGGCGCGATGCAAAATGTAGAAACATATTTTTGTGCTATTTGCAGCTGTAAAACATATTCAAAACAATTTCAACTAAGCAATAACTTATTTCATATTTTGTCCTTACAGTTTTCTAAATACAGATCATTTAAACTTACCTGCCCTTGATTGAACATTTTTTATGTATGAGAGGCGGAGCTAACATATCGTAAGAATGAACCTAAAATTAGACTGGATGAATTCCAATAACATGTATTAAAAAATACGAGAACTCAATTTTCCATCTTCCAATTTATTTATAAAGGTTTGAAACGTATGAGCCCGTCCATGTAAGTAAAGAATATTCTAAACCACGGTAAATTTACCATTTAACGTGTTCGAGCACAGTGTCCTAGTTAGCTAAAAACGTGCTGCCTATATATCACGTGACGGAATTTGGTATTCACACAATTACCTGGGGAAAGATATCACGTGGGGCGACTTCGATTCATACCCGAATATTAACTCTTGATTGACGTCACATGACCGGATGTTTACACAAACATGTGCTTTTCAAGCGAACTCATATGAGTTTTAAGGGTAGCGAAAATAAAATAAATTTCCTCTATGAGTTTTAAGGGGCGGTCGAATAGGTCCATTTTGACATCATCTGTTGAGTTAATTTTTTCTATAGCTTTTGCTGCAGTTGAAATGTTTTTCTTTTTCAGCTCTGAACTTTTTTGGTTTCGAATTAGAATTTATGTCTCTGCTGTTATCGGGCAGTAAGCCTGAAAAATCTAATCAAATAAACATTAAATCATATAAATTATAAAGCGTTTATGTATTAAGTGCGTTTCGAAGTTTGCTTTTAAGGATAAGCGATGCTAAACATAATATTAAGTAAAAAATAATTCCTACGTTCGGGTTTTTCTTTCGATGCCGCCATATCGAAAATCTATAATCCTATGTATCAGTGGCTGGGTTAGCTTGGGTAGAGTTCATAAGGTCATATGACGTATTTTGAGTAGTAACTATGGTCGTTTGATTGAAACTCAAGTAACTCGAGTACGTACTCGGGTATGAATCGAAGTCGCCCGTCGTGATATATAATATTCAACGTGTCACAGTTACTACATAGAGAGTGAGTGTAAGAAGAAGCAGTTTTTTTCTCTTTTAAAGGGGCATGGACACAGTTTCAGCTAAAATTTCAAAATGTATTTTTCCATTTTGACAAATATTTAATTAAAGTCTATCTAATGATCAGAAAAAATTTGACCGTCAGTTGTCGAGATACAAGGCAGATTTAGGCCTCCAAATATTTGTTATGTAAACAAGGACTGTGTCATGTGTTTGTTTACACAGGTTAATATACAAATATATGCTCGTTCAAAGTAGATAATTTCAAATAAAAGTTAGTTTAAATACGATTCGATAGTTACTACGAGCCTTGTATAAAGAACTTTAAGTTCTGTGACTTGTTTGTTAATCAACAAATTATGTTAAAATTTTTGCTAATCAATAGATGATGCCTTAGGTAAGAATTGTAAACATTAAAATTGGTTTTAAAATATTCAATTGAAACTGTTTCCATGGCCCCTTTAAACCATGAGTGCATGTTTGCCTATTAATCTCCTTTAAACGCAACATTACTACTAGAGATGTTTCTGAATATGAATCGAATCCGAATCTGAAAATGAATCTGAATCGGAGAGATCCCGATCCCGATTCGAAAACTGAAAAAAACTTTATAAAAAGAATATTTCCAAAATTCTGCTCTTAAAAATGTCACTGTACATGTACCAATAAGGGAAATAAATTATATTGGATGGTGTTTATAATTTTGTCATAGGATTGTTATTGTTTACTTATTAATTGGATTTTAAAGTCAAATTCTATAGACTGAATAACAGAACAGGTACCCTTTCAATTCATGAGAAAACCTGCTCGTACAATATCATTGTTGTATTTTTCATTACCTTATATTATTTGTTCCTCGCAAAAGTCGTGTTCTGGACCTTATTTTGTGTAAATGTATTCATACCAGTCATCTTATATATTTAGACGGAAATGATCATTACATGTCGGATATTTTTTTCAACAACGTTATGCCATGGTCTTGTTCAAATTTTTGCGAAAGTTTTCGGTCATTGACATTGATATCAACAAGTTTCCGGTTTAAACGCTTCCTTTCAAAATTTCTCGAACATTTTCTTTGATTGGCGTAACTTGTTATAATTTTTGGTAAAACGCTTTTAAGTTGTCTCCCTCATTGCAAAGTGTTTGCCTGTCCCCTACTCTCTCCATTGAGCCATTGAACACATTTCTTACTAGTACCAAAGATCAAGTGAGTTAAAAATACAATAATACAAAACTGGCAGGTTTCAGGCACGTAGCATCAATTTTGAAAGTGGGGGGGGGGGGGGGCGGCAGCCAGAGAAAAAAAATATTTTTAGTTACCTGATAAAGTTGACAAGCCAAAAAAAAAAAAAAAAAAGGATTGAAAATTACCCAAACTCAAAAATCCTATTTCGGAGTGGGGGTGGGGGTGTAGGGGGGGGGGGGGGGGGGGGGGTTAGTAGCCAACTTTTTTCAAGGCAAACTTCTTTTCACTTCCAATTTTTTCCTGCCCCCCCCCCCCCCCCCCCCCCCGGATGCTATGTGCCTGGGTTTCTTAATTAAAAGGTTACTAATTACTACATAAGGCATGTAATATATGTTATGAAATCGAAAAATCGGACAGTTATTCCTTATATGTACACGCTCTTGATTCCGCCAATCCACGTGCTAGAAGTCCCGCTTCTTAATTGTATCTTTATTTGTCCCGCCTTGCACGTGATTTGTTTAACCGCACTTTTTGATGAACCAGTACATTTATGTAGAAATAAAGTATATAACCATTTTTTTGAATTTTATCTCGGACAAAGACATTGAAAATGTAAATCTTGTGAAGGTAAAAATGTGAAAATTAATAGAAAGGTTGGGGAACTCTCCCCCACGTCTCCCCCAGTTCTTAAAGACCTTGTATAATATCATTAATTTCGAGGTCTTCAAATGAGAAGCCGATCAAGAGAGCAAAGTGCCAAAGTAGCCTCCCCCTTGATTTTTTGGTCATAAAATTGTATGCTATAAAGCAAACAAATATGAACCCCCCTTCTTTAGGAAACACATACCCCTCGTAATTTGGTCGAGAAGAATTCACAAACATGCCAATGGGAGTTTATTGATATGTCCTCCCCCCCCCCCTCTTAGCAAAATCCCTACTTCGCCGTTGACACTTCAAAAACACTCCCTCTCCTTGATGTGTGCGAGGGTGTGTGTGTGTTGGGGGGGGGGTACACACACATAAATATTTTATACAGGTTACATGTATTTATTGATATATCAAAGACAAAGCATCAATAATCTTAATCTCAATGTTTGATTTAGAGTTATATCTATTTTCAAATCGGGATCGGAATCCCTCCGATTCAGATTCGTTTCATATTCATTTTCAGATTCGGATTCGATTCATATTCAGAAACATCTCTAATAGAAATATACAACTTCTGTGAAAAGGAGAACAATAGACAAACATGCGGTGACTATGTATAAAGTCAGTAAAAAAAAATGGGCGTCCTCATTATCGTACGGAGATTGAAGAATTTGCGATGACCCCCGCCTTAGAAAACAGATTCGCACATCGTAAATACGTACTTTTATATATTGTAATTGCGTAAAGTTGTAGATAAGATGTTGATCATTCCTGCAATTAAAAGAAAAAATTCTGTTTTGAAACATTATTTTAACACAAATTTCGCAGATCCTTAAGTGCAGTAATCCTTTGATGTGATTTGGTGTAGCTAAATAAATATATCAAACTTCTTTATTTTCAATTTTGGCTGTTGAATTTCTAGAGGCATATACTATGAGACATGTTGTATGGGAATTATTTCGCAACGATAAATCTTCTATGTATGTTTTAGTTATGACTTATTCATCGTATTCAAATAAAGAATTATCAGTTTAACAGAAAATTTTGAAAGTACGGACCTACCTTAATCATGTGTTAATTGATTTTTCAATTAAATTACTTTATGTTAATAATTATCATAGGCTGATAGAAGAAGAGGATAATTTCTCTCGGTAGAATACAAATTTATTGAGTTTTGCTCAGCAATAAAACACGTGTCCAATTTGTCCTGTATTTGAAATATACATGGTTAAAATACCCCTGATTATTACAACTTTGTACTCTGTTTGCTTATAAGTGCACATGATCAAATCATGACCCCTGGAGGTAGGGTGGGGCCATAATGGACGATCAAAATTTTACATAGAAATATATAAAAATTTTCTCCTCAAGATTGATTTTTGCTTATTAATTTTCCTTGCAAAGTGTTCAGTGGCCCATGGGCTCTTGTTTTCGTTCGCTTAATACCCAGGAATAAGGAGAAGATTTGCAAAGAAACAATGCGTTTCACTCCATAACTAATAGACTCCAATCCTATCAGAAACGTCAGAAACCCTGACGGTGGCACAATTTTCAAAATCTTGAAAAATGCATCCTTCCTTTTTATAAACATGAACTTAATTTGTATATGTGTAATGGATTTCTCGATATAATCAATAGAGCCCCCCCCCTCCCATCCAACCGAACTCCTGACCATTGGGCCACAAATTTTATTTTATAATTTTCACCTGTTTCATTATTTATTATTGTTTATGTAGATTTCAAACATCCCAGCTAAATAATCATATGCAGTGGTTAAAGCGTCTGCTACAGAGTCGCAAAGTAAGGAGTTGATCCTTACGTCACGGGCTCGAATACCACTTTGGGTAGTGGAGACCGGTCCTTCGGATGCGACCGTATACTAGTATATCGAAGATCGAGGTCCAGCGTCGCAGAAGTTGCTAGCACGAAAAAGATCCTTCCCTGCTCAATGGCCCTGAGTGCCAAGCAAAGGACAAAAGATCTCCATTGGCAAGTGGTGGCGTCTCCACATGAGTAAAAATTCTCGAGAGAGGCGTTAAACAACAACTAATCAATCAGTAAATCTAGCTAAGTACAAACATGTATATTGAATTCATAAAAATTTTATTATCTAGTTTATTGTTTATGATTTTACAGCAAATATTTGATTTTTTGCACTTTTCTGTTTTTATACTGAGCAACAAAAAGATTGTCATTTGTATCTGTACACAGTCCCAATGGTTCACTCAATTCAAAGTTTATGTAACGGAGGAACTGTCCATCCTGGTCTATGATGTGGACACAGTCATTGTTATAATCGGCTATAAGGATGTGACTTTGACTGTTTGTGGTGATTCCTCGTGGACAGAATGATTGGTTCTTTTGAGCAGGGGTATTTCCAGTGTACCTGAATCTCAGTATTCTGGCCTGGTTTACCACAACTACCGCTTCAACCCCTTCATCAGAAACACAGATATCCAGGTTCCTGTTCTCAGTAATATTTCTGTAATATGAACCAGATGAATAGAGAGGTTTACCTTGATCATCAACCTGAATGGTTTGTTTCTTTCGGGAGCCAGAGTAACAAACAACTTTTGTTGGTTTGAAATCAACACTGACCAAGATAACCAGGAGGTCATCAGAGGAGGTACTACAGACACGTATTGGTATCCAGTTCTTCAGTCTGACTACCTCATCTATTTTTTCATTCTTGACAATGTTTAAAGTTCTATCAATATAATCGGTATAAACTAGATCTCCACTTTTTGTCACCGTTATGTCAGATGGTATGTTCCCCGAGTTGCTTTTGATTGACTTGAGTAGTGATCCCTGATTCATGTTGTAGAGTTCCATGGTGCTATTAAGTCCACTTGTCCAGATTTCTTCATCACTCAGACAAGCCACATTGACAAGATTTTCATACCCAGTGTCTATGGTGGTTATACTCTGTGGTGTATCAAGCAGCTGTCTGACTGGAAGAGAAAATTTTGCTTCTGGTGATTTCTGTGTTGTCTTCATATTGTATCCATGTTTTTCTGCCGTTAGTGAACTTGAAGATAGAGCTCCAAAATTTTTCTCAAGTTTTGCATGGATTCTGCCTGGAGTAAATATAGGTGAAGTGGTCTCGATTTTTTCTGGAATATTTCTAAACCTCTTCATATTAGATGAAAAACTGAATAGTTTGGACAAGTCATTAGTGTCCATATCACTTTCAATTGTATCGATTTCATCCTTGATGTCAGACATTGTCTTCTTTATATCATCCAGATGTTTCTGTAGAGTTTGTAACTGTGTGTTTTTCATCTCATCAACTTCAGCTTTAAGTTTCTTGACAAGTTTGTCAATTTCTCTGTGCCAGTCCTCTCCATGTTTTGTTATGGCTGTTGAGAGATCTCCATATTCCTTTTCTAACTGACTCATTCTGTTTTGTACATCACAGGCAATGTCCTGGAAGGTGGGGTAAATTGTCTCCTTCAATTCGTTATGTTCTTTGATGATCTTAGCTTTGTTGTCTTCAAGAACTTGTAAAACTTTTAATAATTTATGACCTAGATGGTGATCTGAAGCTAGACATGTTGTACAAACAGGGAAGTCGCACTCATCACAGTACATTTCACATCGCTCTTTGACATGAGATGGACATCCAGGATAAATCGGAGTTGACTTTTTAAGATTGAATCTCACAATGTCATGCTTTTTGGATTCATCAGATATCATGTGTTCTCCCACACAGGCCTTACACAGGTTGACAAGACATGTATCACAGTGCATCTGTACCACAGCGGTCTCACAAAGGTCACATCGCATCACGTCCTGGGCACTGGTACGGGGGTCCATGATCAGACTAGGACTGTAATAATGAGAAAAAAATGAACTTGTTACTTCTAAATACATGTAGTCTAACTGCTCCTCGTAATAATTACTGTTATCAAATCAAATTACTAAGATATATCTGTACTAGTCAAGTCATGGAAAAATAAAAATTATTAGATAAACAGATTGTATAAATGTTTAAAACACATACTGTATAAAGGGAAATTTTCGCCATTTTTCGCCCTCTTCATAATAAGGCAAATTTAAAACGGGACGAATTAAAAAAACACAGCATAACTTCTTACACATAACTATGAATGGGCGAATTTAAAACGGGGCAAAATTGTTCGCAAGTGCAAAAGGGCGAAAAAATCACGGGGCGAAAATAACCCTGTATACAGTAATCGCAGTATTTGTACAATGTTCAAGTGAGGCCATGAATCTTGGAGTAGTGGTTAAAGCGTTTGCTCAACAGTTTCGGGGCGAGAAGATGAACATTAGGTGTAGGGTTCAAATCAATTATGTGTCAATATGAGATGAGGCAGTAAAAACTAAGTTCGCGTGTGGCAGTTGGTGTTGTTACGAAGGTGACCCCATGCTGCTAAATGACCGTAAGTGCCTAGGACAGAATTATATTTGCAGCCCTCCATTGGTTTGTGTTGGCGTCTCATAATGAATGAAAATTCTCTAAGATACATTTATAGCAGCAACAAATAAAAACTATGTTTAGGTAAAAAATAATTTCATTCGTTTAAACAAGCAGAGTCTTTGAGTATTTCTTTGACCTTGAAGACATGATATAAGTGGGTATAATCATTAAAAGATTTTCATAAAAAAAAAATTCCTTTGTTAATTTTGTAATGTATGAAATTTTCAAGTACAATTAAGGAGCAAAATACATATATATAAGATAAATTATTCCATTCTTCTTACCTGATTTTGTGAACGTCTGTCTGTTGTTAACCAAAATGAATGTAGTTTCTTCTATGTTTAGGGATCAATGGCCCACTTATCTGAATTATCTACATAGTACCTGTCAGGTATTCAAAAGTCTTGGTTTGATTTATACTGGTAATTTAAATTAGCTGCCATTCTGTGTTTACTCAGTCTGATCTTTAGCATGAAGTATACCCGAGATAAAGAACAGCATATTTAAGCTACAAAGTCCATTTAAACTAAATAATAAAGAATTTTTTTAAGTTCTGTGTGAGTTAATTATTGGTGTGTTAAGTGCGCTGCATGAAATATGCCTTCATTACATTTTGGTGCGATTTACACAACTGTCCCTTAATTCACAATAAATTTAAAACATTCCTTATATTTACATTTTACACGTTTAAAATCATCAAAATAAAATATACTCAGTATTTGAACTTCTCGCTGCCCTATATCGTAGCAATATTACTAACGTCGCTGTAGCCTCATAATGACGTCACATAAGCGCACGTTTCTCTGTGTATATTTCTACGCGTGAGTATACACGAAACTTTGAATTAGATTATGAAATTCCCTATTGAAAAAAAAAGTTACAGGATGATTAATTTATTATTACTATTACATCGATTAGATATACCTGACTGATATGATGCACATCAAAATCAGTTATGATTAATACGAGTATCAATTAAATCTGTAACACGATAACCAGCTTTGCAAAATTATGTCCCTTTAACTCTCACTTTATAACTGTGTTAAGATTAAAATAAATGTCTCAAAAGTTATTGTGATAATAAGGAGGAAATTGAATTAACTTACATAAACTTAAACACTCTTTATTTTCTGGTTCCTATTTTAGTTAAATTTTGACTGCGGCTAGTTGATTTAATTCTCCTTTCTGATATTGAAACAAAAATAGGAATTCATTGATAATTTTTGTGATTGACTTGAGTAGTGATCCCTGATCCAATGAAAACATAGATCACAAGCTTGCCTTTCTGAGATTTTTACAACAAGAGGCCCATGGGCCTTATAGGTCACCTGAGCATTATGCAACAACTTTCCAGTGATTGAATTTGATTCATGTTTTAATCCAGATGCTATGGCATTCACAATTTTGAAATAGGCACCATTGATCATCATAACACACTTAGCAGTTGCTTAGTTTGTTTACTTAATACCCATAGGCAGGGTAGGGGAACAAAAAATGCATTTCAAGTAATCAGTAATATTCAGCTTGATCAGTTATGCCCCAATCACACATGAACCCCTGACCCTTAGGCCAAAATCCACACATTGCAAAAAAATAGGAATTCATTGATTATTTTTGTGATTGACTTGAGTAGTGATCCCTGATTCAATGAAAACATAGATCACAAGCTTGCCTTTCTGAGATTTTTACGCAACAAGAGGCCCATGGGCCTTATAGGTCACCTGAGCATTATGCAACAACTTTCCAGTGATTGAATTTGATTCATGTTTTAATCCAGATGCTATGGCATTCACAATTTTGAAATAGGCACCATTGATCATCATAACACACTTAGCAGTTGCTTAGTTTGTTTACTTAATACCCATAGGCAGGGTAGGGGAACAAAAAATGCATTTCAAGTATCAGTAATATTCAGCATGTTAATGCCCCAATCACACATGAACCCCTGACCCTTAGGCCAAAATCCACACATTGCAAAAATTTTTGAAAAAGCACCCTTGCTTTTCAAAAATATTTGATAAATACCAAGGAGCAGATTTCAAACAATTCATCCAGTTTCAGTATATAAGTACAGTCCCCCCCATAGTACCCCTGACCCTGGGGCCTTGAAATTCACAATTCTGGAAGATTAGGGTTCTTGCTCATCATAACTACATAGGTAGTTCATCTGCTTAATACCAAGGAGCAGAGAAGAAAACTTTTTTAGTGTATTTTCACTGTATAATCAACAGAGCCCCACCCTAACACCAGAACCCCTGTGGGGCCATAAAATTCACAATTTTGGTAGAGGCACTCTTGCTCATCATAACTATGCACTTATTTAGTTTATTTATTACCCAGGAACAGAAAAGAAGATTTTCAAAGAATTCATGTATTTTCACTATATAATCTATAGAGCCCCACCCTAACACCAGAACCCCTGACCCTGGGGCCATTGAATTCACAATTTTGGTAGAAGCACTCTTGCTCATCATAACTATGCACTTAGTTAGTTAATTCAATACCCAGGAGCAGAGAAGAAGATTTTCAAAGAATTCATGTATTTTCACTATATAATCTATAGAGCTTACACTAGAACCCCTGACCCTGGGGCCATAAAATTCACAATTTTGGTAGAGGCACTCTTGCTCATCATAACTATGCATTTATTTAGTTTATTTAATACCCAGGAGCAGAGAAGAAGATTTTCAAAGTATTCATGTATTTTCACTATAAAATCTATAGAGCCCCACCCTCACACCAGAACCCCTGACCCTGGGGCCATAAAATTCACAATTTTGGTAGAAACACTCTTGCTCATCATAACTATGCACTTAGTTAGTTTATTTAATACCCACGAGCAGAGAAGAAGACTTTCAAAGAATTTATGTATTTTCACTATATAATCTATAGAGCCCCACCCTAACACCAGAACCCCTGACCCTGGGGCCATAAAATTCACAATTTTGGTAGAGGCACTCTTGCTCATCATAACTATGCATTTATTTAGTTTATTTAATACCCAGGAGCAGAGAAGAAGATTTTCAAAGAATTCATGTATTTTCACTATATAATCTATAGAGCCCCACCCTAACACTAGAACCCCTGACCCTGGGGCCATAAAATTCACAATTTTGGTAGAGGCACTCTTGCTCATCATAACTATGCACTTAGTTATTTAATTCAATACCCATGAGCAGAGAAGAAGATTTTCAAAGAATTCATGAAATTTCACTATATACTTATTTAGCCCCACCCTAACACCAGAACCCCTGACCCCAGGGCCATGAATTTCACAATTTTGGTAGAGGACTCAATGCTGATTACAATCATGCAAACAGTTTGACTGCTTGATGTCCAGGAGTAAAGAAGAAGATTTTTAAAGATTGCACTAATTTTAGTGGTTTTTGCCCCATCCCCCAGGCCCCAGGGGGGCAGGGCCCATGAAATTCACAATTTTTGTTTCATGCTATATGCCAAATTTGGTTGAAATTGGTTCAGTGGTTTCAGAGAAGAAGCTGAAAATGTTCAAATGTTAACGCACGACTTTTCAACGAAATTACGAAAAGTGATAGCAATAGGTCACCTGAGTTTGGTTGGTAGACAAGGATGTTCTCTATGTGCTGTAAAATTGATGAAAATATTGACCTTTTCCTGACCTCACTGTGACTTCTGTATATTCTTAATCTTAGAACCAATACCCATTTTGTGGCATGGGTGACAACAGGTTTTATGGATAAACTGTTAAATCATTCTGAAAGACACCCGAAATCGGACACCAAATACTGGTCTTACCCTATATTGCCCTTTGGAATTTTGAATTCTGCTATCACCGTATTATTGATAATTGAATAAAAAAGATGATGTAGTGTTTTTGTTCTTGTATAACTTACTTTGTTAAACGTTAGTTGCTATGCATTTGAATAACACAAATTAATAATCACATTAAATGAATCATAAGAAGTGGTGGTTTATCATTTATTCGACTTTTCAACTTTATAAACAACAATTCCCCACGACAAATTAAAATCCAGGCTTTTTGATATCATTGACAGCTGCTTCTTCAACAAAAATGGAACTCGTAAATTTACTTACCTCGTCATTGGTCATTTGAAAAATTATTTTGTTAAAACAGATTCTGATTGCACACATAAGTACTCTGAAGTTGACATCAAGAAGATGCTTGAGTTTCTGATTGACAATATCTATGTGGTTTTTGGACACCAGGTATTCCAACAATCTATTGGAATTCCCATGGGTACAAATTGCGCTCCGTTTTTAGCAGACTTATTTTTTATTCATATGAAGCAGAATTTATGCAAAATCTTATGCGTGAAAAGAAGAAAACACTTGCTGTGGCCTTCAAACTCGACATTTAGATATATCGACGACATATTGACAATTAATAATGATAATTTCCATTCCTACGTCGACACGATATATCCTGGTGAGCTTGAGATAAAAGATGCCACAGAGTCCGACACTTCTGCTTCATATTTGGATATTTTACTTGAAAAAGACACTAATGGTAATCTAACAACCAAGCTATATGATAAACATGATGACTTTAACTTTTCTATCGTCAACTTCCCTTACTAATGCAGCAATATACCTTCATCACTTGCATACGGATTATATATATCTCAGTTGATTCGATACGCAAGAGCATGCTCTACGTATGAACAATTTCTTAAACGAGGTAAATTATTGACAAGCAAGTTGATGAAACAAGAATATCAACAGTCTCGTTTAAATTCATCATTTCGTAAATTCTATGGTCGATACAATGACCTTGTCAGCAAATACAATTTATCATTGAATGAAATGCTGACTGACGTTTTTCATACCAATTGTTAGTCCATTATTTATACACTGAATTGACGACGGATTTTTTCCGTTATTTCCTGATTATGACAACGAGCACACGGCGGGTGTGACCGGTCGGCAGGGGATGCTCACTCCTCCATGGCACCTTATCCCACCTCTGATGTTTCGGAGGTCCGTGTTGGCTCTACTCTTATTTTGTATATTGTTTAATGGACGTTGAGATTGAATACTGTTCGTTATTTCCATATCCTTCTTATAACAAAATATAAGTAAATAATTGTGTAAAAGTTTTACACAAGGAAGTTTAAATACTATATATTAACTTGGGCGCAAGAAGGAGAATTTTCTGAAATAAAATGATTCAGAGGCCAGTTGTGAATCAGATACACTCAGACGAGGAAAACAAGTGATTAACATAAGTGGTCACGTGATCCTTGTATATAGAGGCAGGATTGATTTGGCCGATAATAACTTGTTAAATTCAGGTAATTATTTTAGGCCAATATAATTTTGCATATTACTCGGTATTTTATGCAATACTGACACAACAAGATATAATATTGTTTGCTTTTAAATGTGAAAAAAAGTGTGATCGGGAGGCCCAGGTTCGATTCTCGTTCGCGGCGCTGCGTCAAACCTAAGACGTAAAAATAAGTAGTGACTGTTCCTTTGCCAAGCGCTCGGCATCAGAAGTGAAAGTAACGGGTCTTTCGGATATGACCTTAAAAACGTAGGTCCCGTGTCATGATAGGCGCTGGTACGATAAAGAACCTCACTGCTCAATGGCCCTGAGTGGCGAGTATAGGTCTAAATTTGAAGCCCTTCACCGGCATACGGTGACGTCTCCATATGAGTGAAAAATTCTAGAGAGGGACGTTAAACAATATACAATCAATCAATCAATAGACTTTTGTGCATCCGTAAGATGTAGTGAGAATCCGAACAAAAATGCGGACACAATCCTTTTACGAATCGCTTTCAGCTTTAAACTCTTTTCAAAAAAAGTTTTTCCTCAGTAGAGACATGGGAAGGAGAATAAGAACATAACGAATTTCGTTTTCAATGTAATTTAAAACCCTCCATTCCTGAAAAGTAATGAAGTGCTCAAGCAAAAGGATGACGTCAAAGGTGGATTTTACCAGTTGTGTAATTTACACGTACGTGCTAGGCATTTCTCTAATCACGCGCAGCTTATCTTTTTTTCTATGTGATGTCATTTGATTTAATTACTATTTGATTGCTGCATTCTATGTCGACAATAATTTACAAATATCACTAATTATATTTTTATTAGACAAGACATTGTTTGATCATGGACCCCAGTACCAGTGCCCAGGACGTGATGCGATCGCAGCTAGGATAAGGCTGCCCGTAAAAAATTAAACTGCTCAAACTGTAATAACTTCTCTGATCACGTCATAATTATCACTTGACATTGTCATAATTATTACACGATGTCATTTGATTTAATAATGTTACATTTGATATTTAAATATCTCTATTCCTTTTGCTTGTCCGATATGCATATATTCAAGCAATATAAAAAAAATTATGTTTGAAACATTGTATGTTGGTAATTTTAATTTATCGAGCACTTTTTACAAAGCATGGATCACTAATTATATTTCTTTACACAATAATTGTGTTATGCACTTGTGCCGACGCGATTTTTGTGCAACATGAAAGCATTTCAAAAATGTCCGTCACGTGATCAACACAGTCATCTGACATCACAGAAATGCTTTATTATAATACCTTATTAAACTGTTATCTCAAGTTGACTGCAATTTCAAACAAGGATAACATATTGAAATTAAAATCTAGCTCAAATTGAAATGTATATTTTTAAGACATTTAAGCCTTCGGACAGCCTTATCCTAGCTGCGATGTGACCTGTGGGAGACTGGTGTGGTACAGATGCACTGTGATACATGTCTTTTCAACCTGTGTAAGGCCTGTGTGGGAGAACTCATGGTATCTGATGAATCCAAAAAACATGAAATTGTTTCATTCAAGCTTAAAAAATCCACTCCCATTTATCCAGGGTTTACATTACAAGTCGAAGAGCGATTTGAAATGTATTGTCATGAATGTGACATCCCTGTATGTGCCAACTGTCTTATTTCAGATCACCATTTGGGTCATAAATTATTAAAAATTTTACAAGTTCTAGAGAAGAAAAAAAAGAGATCATCAAAGATCAAATTGAGTTGAATGACACAATTTACCCAAATTCCCAGGGCATTGCCTCTGATGTACAAAACAGAATGGGTGAGTTAGAAAAGACATATGGAGATCTCTCAACAGCCATAACAAAACATGGAGAAGACTGGCACAGAGAAATTGACAAACTTGACGAGAAACTTAAAGCTGAATTTGATGAGATGAAAAACACACAGATACATACTCTACAGAAACATCTGGATGAAATAAACAAGAACATTTATGAAATCAAAGATGAAATCAATTCAATTGATGTTGTTATCAATTCTAATGACATTTCAAAAGTTTTCAATGTAACATCAGATATAAATAGACATAGAAATCTTCCAGAAAAAAAATATTCATCTCTTTACTAAAATTTACTCCAGGGAGTAATCAAGGAGCTAAACTTTCTAAATTCTTTGGAGCCTTGTCACCAAGTTCCCTCACTTCAAAAAAGCATGGCTACAGCCTGAAGACAACAGAAAACTCACCAGAAGCTAGATCCGTTCCTCCAGTCAAACAGCTGCTTGATGAACCAGAGACTGTCACCACCATAGACACTGATATTTACAAACATTCGCAATTTGGCCTGTCTGAGTGATGAAAAGATTTGGACAATTGGACAATATGACAACATTATAAAACTCTACAGCATAGGTCAGGGACCGTTACTTAAGTCAATCACAACTAAGTCTAGAGACACACCAGCTAACATAGCAGTGACAAAAAGTGGATATCTAGTTTATACTGATTGGCGGTGCAGAACTGTGAAAATTGTGAAGAATGAGGAGATAGAGGAGGTGATTAGATTAACAACAAAATATAATCGTCATGTTGTCTGCATCACAACCTCTGAAGATTTTCTAGTTTTAATGGATAGTGATGACTTAAATCCATCAAAGATTGTCCGTTACTCTGGTTCCACGGAAAAACAAACAATTCAGTTTGATGATAAAGGCCAACCTCTATATCCATCTGGTCCTTCTACGAGACATATTACCGAGAGCAGAAACCTGGATATCTGTGTGTCTGACTGTGAGGCTGGATTAGTAGTGGTGGTGAATCGGGCTGGAAGACTTAGATTCAGGTACACTGGACATACTCCTGCTTTAAAGAATAAACCGTTCAGTCCACTAGGAATCACCACAGACAGTCAGAGTCACATTCTCACAGCTGATAAATGCAATGAGTGTGTCCACATCATAGACCAGGATGGACAGTTCCTCCGTTACATAAACTGTGGTCTGAGAAATCCATGGGGACTGTGTATAGATACAAATGACAATCTCTATGTTTCTCTATATGATGAAGGACAAGTGAAGAAAATCAGATATCTGCAGTAAAACCAAACTAGAGAAATCTTTGAAAATAACTTGGGGATATATGATAATACATATATCTACTTCTTATAAAGTTTCATCGGCTTATGAATGAATTGTGAATTTAAAAGTAAATAATATCATACAAATGCATTTAAATTGATTGATATTGAATACATTGAAGGAAACCCTCTGAGTGGCTAGATATATTGTTTATATTTATAATGTGTGATATCTTGACCTACGGAATCTGTCTCTAGCAAAGTAGCTAGTAAATGAACAGCGTGCTAGACTGCTCAGCTTTCTAGACAAGTCTAACCAGAAGTCTCTGTCGAGACTGTAGCTCTACTGGTATGTACTTATAATAAAGGAAAAGTAGCAGTTGGGACTGAAAACTTTATAAAAGCAATAAACAGAAGAATGAGCCCTGATTAGTCTCTTTTTGTGGCAAGAGTGCAATAAGACTAAAATTATAGGAGAAGCTTTCAATGAAAATTTTCAATTTTAGTTACCATGGCAACATCAATCATCAAACTCAAAAGCACAAAATTGAGAATTATGTATCTCAGTGTAGTCTACTTATACATGTACTATATTATAATCAGACTAAAATTGTATTTGGAGAGCATTTTGAAAGTATTTCACATAAATTTCTAGTTTTAGTAACCACAGCAACATCGTTTATGGTAATCAAAAACCGATATACTGAATTATGTATCCTAGTGTAGTCTTCTCGTGTGCCAAGTTATATTGAAATTAGATCAACGTGGTAGGAGGAGTAAATTATAAAGTTATTTCAAAGAAATTTCTATTTTTTGTAACCACGGCAACACCGAAATTATCGAAATCGAAAACCAATACACAAAATTATGTAGATTGTGTAGTCTAGTTATGTGCCAAGTTATATTGACCAAAAACGTAGAAAGAGTAGCATTTTAAAAGTATTTCACAGAAATACACACATATTTTTAGTAACCAGAAATACACCCATATTTTAGTAACCAGAGCAACATCTTTCATCAAAACCAAAACCCCAAATATAAAATTATGTATCTTAGTGTAATCTACTTGTGTGCCAAGTTATATTGAAATCAGATCAAAACTGTAGAAGGAGTAGTACCATTTTGAAAAATTGTTTACAGACAGACAGACGGACAGACAGAGGGACGAACGATGAACGCATTACTAACGCAAAAGCTCTTCTCGTCTCTGACCAGTTGAGCTAAAACCTGCTTTTGATGCCGAAGCCCTACACGACACGGTATTTGAGAATGGAAGTGAGATATATATAGGATCTCGAATGATTTGTAGTTGGATATGATTTTTATCCAACGAGTTGTGTGGATTTTATCCCCGAGCCTTGGCGAGGGGATAAAACACGCAACGAGTTGGATAAAAATCATATCCAACAACAAATCATCTGAGATTCTTTTTATCCCATGTTTTTTAAACCACGAACAATGTTTGACACTGTTTTTATATAGGACTCCATTTCATTTTACTTCATCACTCTAACGCAAAATCCACTGTGACGTCACAACTGTGTGATATGAAAACGATATCACATGAGCTATATCAACGGGATAAAGGGTTAAACATTGGATAAATAAAGTTATTCACACATTAGTTTTATTAGTGGATCGTTACCAATAAACGTTGTAATGAAATCAATTATTACTTATGAAGCACATTTTCACTTTTTCATCGTTTAACAATATCATAAGATACACAGACGTAGTAGTGGTCAGGGAAAAATGTGGACTTCCTGACATTTTCCGGCAACCCCTGAACCCCCCTCGGATCCACCACCGGTGTGTTCCGCTCTAAAATTACAAAAAGGAAAACCCAGGTTAAACACTATCAGACATATAGCACGCTTATCGATTTATCGATTCACCCGTGAAAAAATAGTTCATGACTTTTAAACTTCTGGAGAAAAAGAAAATATTTTTTTTTTTAAATCCTAATCTAAATCTTAAAAAAGGAAATATTAATTATATGCTAATTGAAATCATTGTTGTTAAATAGTATTGTTTAATTGTGCGGCGTGATACAGACCTACATACCATAAGCATTAGGTTGCTCTATTTATAAATTTTCTTATCAAAGGGAAAAATTTTCTTTTTGTTGGTAAGCATTTAAAAATATCTCATATATGAATAGTTTCTCATCAATATTATCGATGCAGATAATCTTTTTTTTAATTCTGAAATTGAGACAAGTAGATATGAAATCGATAATTAATCAGAATATCTACAATAAACTGCGCATGTTAAATTATGATTGAAAAAGATAAAGTGTGACAAAGGATTTTCTGTTTAAAATTTGATTCACCCGAGTATGTAAATTCAAAATATTTTCAAGGCATCCCTTTTTTCAAAAAACGCACTGATTTTGATTTTGATTCAAAGTATTGGAATATTAACATTTTTCAATTTGAAAAATATTGATTTATTTTCTACAGGCCTGCCTTATGAAAGGGCGTATTATGGAATGATTTTCTTGCTCGCGAGAGCCTCGTAACCGAAAATATTTCTCGCCGCAAATCGGACCTCGTTGTCGCTGTCTCGGATTCTCAATTAACAACAGATAAAAATTAATAGTCCTGAACTAATTTACCTCAGGTAAATCGCGAAATGAAATCGTCGCGAATAAAAGTGGGTTTACAGTACTATGAAACAGTAAATATCAAATTATTTTAAACCTTACTAATTGTTAGTCATTTATTTATACATTAAATTAATTGACGACATATTTTTCCGTATTTCCCCGATCATGAAAAGAGCACACGGCAGATGTGACTGATCGGCAGGGGATGCTTTGTACTCCTCCATAGCCCCATCTCCGATGTTTTGGATTCCATTTTGTATTGTTTTAGGCCTCGGAACCGGGAGGGGGGCTAGGGGGGCTGAACCCCCCCCCTCTTTTTTTCTAATATATACATAATATATAGGCATTGAAATTTGGAATTTACCTTTTTTGTTGGTCCTATCCCCCCCCCCTTTTCAATTTATGTTTATGAACCTTTAATCTTGAATATTGTTCTTTATCTCCAAATGTTTCATTGTAGAAAAAAGTCAATTGAAACTGTGTCCATGTTCCTCTATAGCAACAGCAATGACTAGTAGTATGGATTTGGAGCATCCTGTTGTACCATTTACACATATTGCTTGTTGCAAAAATCACCATTTTAAGCGTTGTCACTGTTGTATATGCATTGCATGGAGTGTTAAACATCAGTTGGTAAACATGACGGCTAGATATCAAAGCTCTAAAAACACGGATGTTTAATTTGGTCAACCTTGCTCTACTTAAATAATTAAAGTTGAAAGTGAATTGGGTTTTTGTAAGGGTAAATCTGTTGGTGGTGTGTGGGTTTAAAAGACAAGTCTTCAAAGGATACGCTCGGTCGCCGAGCTTTGTATTTTCCCCAAATGACCTCCACTCTGGAAACCGACATCTTTGCTAGCCAAGGGTTTCTGATACGCTACTCTCCTCATGAGAAGAATAGCGTACACAGGAAAAATGTCCACATGTGTTGAACATATGTTAAACATGTGTTTAACATATATTTTTTACACATGTAAAACACATAAAAGGAGCACACATGTATAGGGTGTTTATTTTTACACATGTTAAACATATGTTTCACATGTGTTTAACATGTGTAAAAATAAACACATTGTATATTTATACATATGAAACATGTGTTTAACATGTGTTTTATATATGTTATACTTTATTTGTGAATTATATGTGTATAATATTACTGTTGTACTTATTATCATTTTTATACTTTTTTCATGTCTGTCCACATATATATGTGAATCATATGAAAAGGGCAGCATATATAAGTCACATGAAATAGTTACATGTGTTCTCTTTCAATATTTATCAAAAGGAAAAACACATTCTTGTACACATTTAAAAATCAGATATTTCTGCTTTAGATGAAAATCCATTACATCCCAATGATCTATCTTCATGGGTTGAATATTTGAAAATTAATATCTTAAAAATGCTTACACAACTTTTTTGATAAATTATTTTTATCAAGAGAAATAACTTATTTTTCAGTGTACTTTCTAAACAGGAAAGTATACAAACAAGTCAGTAGCATTTGTCAATACATATATTTTACATATTCTAAGTTGAGTACAATTATAAGATTTCCACAAAATGATTAAATAGTTAAACATGCATACATGTACAAATGAATAACATAATTAGTCCATGTACTTTTTTTATAATTTATATGTTTTGACATGAAAGTGTCCAAAGCAAAATTGAAATATCACATATAACATTTGTCATGTATTCTCTATTGTAAATTTATGAAAAATCAAGTTATTTGATATTACAGCATATAAATAAGAATGGGAATTAAATCTTTACAGGTCAAATGCAGACAAGATTGTGTACATCCTCCCAATTTCAGAATTATTTCATATATTTTCTTGTTCTTTTTCCTTCTGTATCTTTCAGTTTTCTTCAGTTGTCCTCCCTCTGATCTTCCATGAGCTTGACCATTTTGAACTCTCTTTGAACTGTACCCAAAATGCAAATCCACCATTTCTCCCTTTCCTGAACAATTTCTTTGTGGCACAGAATGGTCTCTACAAAAATTTTAAAAGTAAAAATAAAACAATTCTTAAATTACAAGATCAATTCTACAAGTAATATTAAAGTTCAGCAAACAAATGTATGCCCAATTCACCAACAGAGATATGATAAGAGATAAAACTAATGTTATATATGCTATACTAGGTGTTTTGTGGAATCCTATTATGTAATTTGCAAGACATTTACACTGTTGGAAGATATGCTTCATAATAAAGTCATAAAAAGCATTTTTTTTTTATTTTGACAATTAAATTTGGAATGTTCAAACAGTATTTCTAATTCATATTGCCAAAAATTAAGAAGATTCTGACACAAATATTTTATTTTTGGACAAAAAATACTACAGAGAAGTAGACAGGCAGAAAAACAGACAGTGTGATTCCAGGATATCCCAAACGTTG